GCGGACGGACACCCCCATTAACGCTCGTTCAAATTTCGACGCTAACTTCCAATATGGCCTCTTTGGATCAAATAAAGGAGGTACCGGTTTTATGTGCTCGCGTATAGGTAAAATCTTTGCTCGTTGGCACTTAGCGATAGCTATAACTAGTTTATATATTAATATTTGTCGCATCGAGTATTTAGCAAGAAAGAACCTAGTAAATTACATACGCTTTTAAGCCGTCTTTACACCAGATCCGCTTGCTGATGAAATACAATTTTGCAAGGGATCCGGAGAAGGGGAGAGAGCAGCCATAGGACCCCGATCCGGAGAAGGGGAGAGAACAGCCATAGGACCCCCTTGGGTTTTGTTATCTCGTTATATTCTACAAAAGTTTATTGGACAAACTTTGACGATCTCTACAACTTGGCAGAAAACATTTGACCCATTGTTTCTGGGGAATTCCAGTTCATTTTGCAGCGAAGCAGGAACACCCGTAACTTAAAAGTCCCATCTTCTAGATTTTTCGAAGTCAAAAGACATTAATAATGACTTCATTTCAGTTCATTCTTTTTGGTTAATTCAAATTTACAATCTTATTTTCTAAGCACCCAAAATTAGCAAAAGCTAGTCTTGGTGGGAAGTGTCTATATACAGAACACGAACTTCATTCACATTAAACTAACAAGTAAATATCAGTAAATTCATATAAACTTACAAATGAAAAGAAAGCTGGAATACAAAATATAAATCAGAAACTTACAAGTACAATATTAAGACGATTGCAAAGATAATGATTGGGGGAGTTACGGACGATCAATTTATTTCATTTGTCCTAAAAAGGTAGGTAGATGAGGAGAGTCGTCTGTCTGTGATTGGATTTCAAGTAAGCAATCATGTTAAGCCTTCAGCACAGAATTGACCCAAAACGGCAATATTCTCATAATATAGCCCCATTAAGGCGGGAGCGAATCCCAGTAGTTGTAGGTAATGGAAACATGAACCTCTCTACGTGTAGTACCTGCTGACGTCGTGTTTCGTCGCGCCTTTTCCTTTAAATCGTCGGTTTTTCAACGAAACTTGTTATTGCGGCCACGGTACCGCTAATAGCGAGCTTGAGCAACCACAACAAAGGCGATCATCACGACTTTGATTTCTTTGGAAATACCCTTAGAGAGTCATTCGCAGGGACGGCGGAGCGCAATTTCAACTGGGGGCTGCCCTTAAAAACTCGCGCCGGAGACGCGAGTTTTCTTGGAGGGGAGGGGGTGGTTTGGGGGAATCCTCCCCAAGAAAAGTTAGAAATCTAGAGGCTCGGAAATGGCATTTGCAACATTCTCAATGAGATATTTCTCTAAAAACCTCAACCAGGATAAGGTGTAAAATGACAGGTACTCGGCTTTCAGCATGCGCCTTATACTTAAACAAAAACCCTGACTTTGTGTTCCAGAAATAAAAAAAATCATAAAACAAAGGGATGAAAGAGGATTCAAGTTGTATAATGGCCTTGAATGACAGTTCAGTCCTTGTTTCTTTGCAAGCTGACCGAGCTAACAGGTTCATTGTCTATTTCTTTTCTCTTCTTTCTTTTCTGACATATTTCATTCTCTAAAAAACTGAGAATTTACCGATAGCCAAAAAAATCCTTCGACGTATTTTAACAGTTGAGTTGAGCATTGCATGAAATAAGAAGATAAACACGATTTACATACGTCATTGGACAGATGGATTTTCAATTTAATTCTTACTTAAAATTGCTGTCTACAAATATACTTTTACATGCACCTTTTAGTTATACGCCTTCATTTGAATCAGCTCAACTTTCTCTTTGTTGCTCCAAAACCTCAAGATATAATTAAGTTTTAAGTCTGCACCATTTAGGTGGAGGGATGTTTGTGTACCCCTTATCCCTGTAATAGGAGTTAGTTACAAGTCAGTATTCCTGTAGTACCGATATTTAGATCTTCAAATCAATCATTCGCCTTCTAGTTATGATTATTTTTCAAGTCATCCCAGTCCTTAAAAGATAAAACATAATATTAATAATAAAAAATAACTAAAAAAAAATGATGATTTTAATAATTTTAATAAAATGGTCAATTATACTTTATATTCCTAAAATCCTAACTGTACTTAGCAAGGGAGTACGTTAACCGCAGGTGGATATATGACACCAATATATTTAGTAGGCTTTTTGCTGGAAAGGTTTAATTGAATTGACTCACTTTATTCAAAATAAGCCAACCACATGGTAAACACTAGCCAAACAGGAACGTGTTGTGAAAAATTCATTTACTCCCTCATTAAATTTTACCACGAAGCATAAGTTTAAACCAATTCCTGCATGTAGCTTAATATTTGAAACAGACTTGTTTCCCACTTTCCGTAATAATTAATCTGTACAAAAAAGGTCGTAGTTGGCAGTTCCAAGCGTAACTGTTTTCATTTATGAGAATTCATGTATTCAACAATTAGGCGTGGCACTCCCCCGGATTATTAGCTTCTAAAAGGCACAATTTCATTTAACTACAAAACTGACCGTTTTCATGGCCTACTCAGTTTTAGGTAGCTCGGGGAAACATTTTATTTTAAAACAGGGAAGTAGAGTAAGGTAAACAGACCAGATAAACAAACCCCTAATGCTGACGGCTGCGAAAATTGCTAAACACTTAAAGTTAACATAACATGAAGGTTCTTCATTTGTGAGACATTTTTGCATCTCATTTATCTCTTTTTGGTACTATTATACCTCCAAACACAGAAGATATATAAATTCTTATAAATCTAAAGGAGAGAAAAACTGCTATCTACTTTTGCGTAAGGGAGAAACATTTATGCCCGGAGAATTACTGGGAGTGGGTGCAAGAATCCTTTCCTAAGCGAGCCCTACAGGACTCAGGAATCCATCCCATTTTCTCGTCACTTTCGTGGATATGTTACGAAAGGATGTCACTTTTTTCAAATTGAAATCAGTTAAGAATGTGTATCACTTCTTTAAACGTGTTCAAATTTGGTACCAAAACAATATCAAGCAATTAGCCCATTAACATGGGGAACAAAAACAATATTTTCCCATCTACCCGTAGATGGGAAAATATTGTTTGCAGTCCGTATGTTCTTATTGGTTGAATACTGAAAGCTGTCATGACATAATTCTCTATTTGAAGCCGTGAGAAGGAAAATTAATAAGGTTATACTGCCTTTTAACGTTTTTTCCGTTTTTAGGAACACGTTTTTAGTTTCCAAACCACTGAGGAAAGTTGGTAAGGATAATGCCGAAAATGGACGTTTGTCTCCAACTTTGTGCCTTTGGTCTGTCGCTGTTTTTATTCCCAGTTGCCTTTGGTTGCATTAATATTGGTAAGCATTTTACATCATCTTCAAATTTAGTTTAAAACCGCCTTTAGTTAAGTTAACGTATCTTGAAGGCAACTCAATTAAACATCCAAAAGTGGAATCAACAATTCAAATATATATTAAGCATTCTTGAATGAGTGGAATAAACTTCTAACACTTTGTGTTCCACTACTCCACAATTTGTAGTAGAAACAAAAATAAATACTTCTATATAAAAACCAGAGTAGCGATACTTCGAATCATGCTGCAAGGTGTGAAACGCTCAAAATGAGATTAACGGGATGAACATTTAAACGACTTTTTTATTCCCTTTTTATCCTTTTTTGCTTTTATTTTCAAAAGTGCAGTGAGTGTTATTGTTTTTAATTTTTCTCTTTTTTGACTCATTTTGACTAATTCAGCCAACCGGAATAGTCATGTAAAATTGTCGTATATTTTGTTAATAGTATATGTTGTGTAAAGAATTGCATATAGTGCTTATTGAATTTCTTTGTTGATATTTTCCAATATCTTCATTCAAAGCCTGTTAGCCCTATTTGTGGTCACGCAAACGAATTGAGTTCAAAATAGTTTACCCAAATATACTGTCTGTTTATGCGGTCAAGAAAGACTACCAACGCCTCAAAATTTATTGTGTCTTTGAAGCAAAATAACTCGGAACGCTTCACTATCAATGGTTTGTTCACATATAAGACCACTGAATTTGTGCCAAATGCCCTTGCGCAACTTTGGACAAAAACGCGAACTTCAGTATCTCGAAAAATATGTTCTGTTATGTAGGGTTTTCAAATTCGTTATTAAGTAGAACAGTTTAGTTCACTATTTGCGGGGTAACTTTTTTGCTTATACAATCGAATTGATTGGGTTCAAATTACTTTTCGCAAACTCCTGGCTGTTACGCCGCAAGGAAAAATTTATAACGCCAGAGAAATCACTGTGTCTTTCAAAACATATAATTCGGAAGGCTTCGTCGGTGCGTCACAAATATATATTTTTTTATCTGAGAACTAGACTTCCTAAACTTTGAAAATGGGCCAAATAGAAATCAGTACCTTGAATATTTGCGGACTTATGGTTTTTCGAAGATTAACATAATGTCGTTATGGCGGTCGCACGCGTCCATTAGCACTCGTCACAAATTTCGACGCTAAATGCCAATATGGCAGGGGCACCCAACGACTGTTTTCTATAAAATATCTGTTCGGAGAAGTAAATATTACCTAGAATTTTCGATTACTTGAGGACAGCTAAAAATTTCTAGATGACCGTTCCATTCATGTACAATTTTCGAAGCTTTTCCAATAAATCCGCTACGATTTTCTGAAGTTTGAGTTTTCACATTTTCCTCCCCAGGTTAGGTTATTTTTCGTAGTAAAAAGGAAACTTAAAATTTTCGGACTCAAAAATGCGATGTAGAGAGGAATTAAAAAAAATCGTCGCTTTCGTAAAACGTTAAATTGCATCTAAAATTTTCGGGAAAGAAATACTGGAGCCCTAATAATTTAATTTCGAACAGACTCAAGTTGCCCTAGGATGACCGAACAGATACAAATTTTATAGCATCGCGTAGAATGCATTTTTAGAGTTCTAAAAGTACTCTGGATAGCCTAAAAAGTGTTTTCAATGTATGTAGGAGGAAACCGTCGTTGGCGGCCCCTAATATGGCCACTTTGGATCAAATAGAGGAGGTTGTAAGGGGCGAAACAGACAAAATTAATTTGAAGCTCGATAAACTGACAGCAAATGTTGAAGAACTTTGTAAAACAGTCAAATTCCTTAATGATAAGTACGACGAGCTGCTTCCTCAAGTGCAGCAAACAAACGGGAAGTTAAACCAGCAGGCAAAAAGTATTGATGCTGTAAAGGTGGAACTTGACAAAGTTAAGAAATGTGCTACAGATGCAATGTCCCAAATTGAAGAAATCGTCCAATACGTGTGCAGAGACAGTCTGGAAATTTCGGGTATAATACCTTCTGCCGAGTGCACATGTGAAACGATTGTTACCTCCATTGGTGCAGTGATTGGTGTCCCTACAGTGAAGGAAGAAATTTCTATCGCTCATCAAATTCCCACTTATAAGGAGGATGCGCCTCCAAAGATAATTGATAATTGTTGAATTTACGAGGAGAAATAGATTCTATCATAATAGTAGTCTTAGAAAGCTGGCCAACGAGAAAATTCAAGATTTACCCTATCTTAACCTAACGTCTACCGAAAATTTGTATATTTCCGAATCACTCACGCCCTACAAGAAGCAACTCTTCAGTAAAGTAAACAAGCAAAAGAAGAAATTGAAGTGTAAGTACATTTGGACACAGAGTGGAATAATCTTTATCAAAGCAAACAAGAATTCTACTACGACTCTTAGTTTCGACACATTGGAGGACCTTGCAAAATTTCAAAATGAACTTCAACATCTTACTGCCTAGATTCTTCCGTGCACAGCTTTTCCACTTACGAGGAAAAAGACACCATAGTCTAGAAAAACCGCGCAACAGCGTGTTCAAATTTAGTATTGAGGTATTCTTTATACGTTATCTACATGATTCTAGTATTGAATGGCGCATATTAATCTCAACAGTTTAAGTGAACTTCCATTTCATGACTTGAATTTAGATCAGTGAATTCCTGAAGGAAACAGGTACGTGGGTTTATTTATCCTTTGTTTGAAAATCTTTTTCAATATGCCAGCAGCCGGATACATACAACACAAGATATGAATCTAAGCAAAACCTCTACAAGCCACGTACTCGAACATGGGCAAACAAATTTTTGTATCAGCTAATAGATCTCTGGAGCGATATTCCTCATCACACGTGAAAGATCTCACTACATTTTCCTTTTCCAAAGAAATAAAACGTTATTTACTGTCAGAGCAATACTCGAAAGTAACCTTAATAGAAATTTTATTATTAACTATAACTTAATTCTGCTATTAGCTCCTCTCCTCTTCTGGCTCTCTTTTTAACTGAAACAAACTTAAAACAGTATTAGGGGTTAACACGAAAACCTCACGGTTCCTTTAGCCTCTAGGCTCCAAATAATTAATTATTATTCCTATTTGTCACATTGTAAATTCGTAATGTATATAACTTTTTTTCTTGTAATAATTCTATGTGAGTGAGTCAGTAAAAGATTGTTGTTGTCGTTGTTGTCTAAGTCCACTTATAAGAAAAATAAAAGTTTGCCCAAAATCACCTGTGCGCAACTTCGGAGAAAAACACGAAATTCAATACCTCGAAAAATATGCTATGTAAAGTTAGGATTTTAAAATCTTGATGCAGTAGAACAGTTTATTTCACTATTTTCAATTTAATTTTTTCTTATGCAATCCAACTGAGTTCAAACTATTTTTCTTAAGTTACGGTAATTCGTGACATTTCTACACAAATTAATCAGCGCGTGCGTATACAAAAATCTATGCTCGAACTGGCAGTTAGCGATAGCTATAATTAGTTTATATAATATTTGTCGCATCGACTAGTTAGCAAGAAAGAACCTAGTAAATTATATACGTTTTTTAAGCCTTCTTTTCTCAAGATTCGCTTGCTGATGAAATACATTTTTGCAAGGGAGAAGGGGGTGAGAGCGGCCATAGGACCCCCTTGGGTTTTGTTATGTCGTTGTATTCTGCAGAAGTTTATTGGACAAACTTTTATGATCTCTACAACTTGGCATAAACATTTGACCCATTGATTCTGGGACATGCCACTGCTAATACTTGTAACGTCTTTCAAAATGGTCGCCATCTATCTTGACCACAATTTGGATTTTTGCTGAAAATTCATTTTTTGCAAATAATGTTGGAACGTACCTCTTACTATACTTAGACATTGTGCAGGGGAAACTAACCAAATTTTATCAAGAAATGATTGGTTAACTATAGGACCACAATGCAAGGCTACATAAGCCACAAGATATGCCTCAGAAACATAGTTTCATATCGAGCTTGTAACCCTGAGTTTGCGTCCCAGAAATAAAAATGTCATAAAACAAAGAGATGAAAGAGGATCCCAGTTGTAAAGGCCTTGAATGACAGTTCAGTCCTTGTTTCTTGGCAAGCTAATTATGAAAACTAAAACAGGGTCATTGTCTATTTTTTTTCTCTTCATTTTTCTCTGACATATTTTTTTCCATAAAGGGTGATTTCATTTACCTATTAGGAATCCTAAAATCGGGTTACTTTGTAATATATAACTGATCATGAGAGTTTACCGATAGTCATGGAAAATGCTTTGTCGTATTTTAACCGTTAAGTTGAGCGTTGTATTAAATAAGACGATAAACACGATTTACATACGTCATTTGGCAGATGGATTTTAATTAATTTCTTAATTACTTTACATGCACTTTTTAGTTATACGCCTCCACTCGAATCAGCTCAACTTTTTCTTTGTGGCTGCAAAACCGCAAGACATTAACTTTTAAGTCTGCACCATTTAGGTGGAGGGAATTTTGGTTACCCCTTATCCCTGTACTTGAGCTTAGTTAGCTTGCTATTCCTATGGTAAGGGAGTACGTTAACAGCAGGTGGATAAAAGTGACCTATATATTTAGAATCAGGCTTTTTGTTGGAAAGGTTTAATTAAATTGACTGACTTTACTCAAAATGAGCCATAATCAGCAAACCACATGGTAAACATTTGCCAAACAGTATCGTGTTGTGCATTTCTTTTATTCATTCGCTAAATTTACTGCTTTCCGAAGCATAAGTTTAATGTATTTGCTGTGGTTTAAAATTTGAAAACTTGCTTCCCACTTTCCGTACTCATTAATCGGAACAAAAAAGAGACCCCGATACTAGTTCCTTATTTTGGCGTATCTCGTTTGTAGGAATCGTATATTCAACAATTAGGTGTGGCTCTCCCCTGGATTATTAACTTCTAAACAGCATACTAGCTTTTAAATAACTTCAGAACTGACCGTTTTTATAACCTACAGTCTCAGGTAGCTCCGTGTTCTATTAAGTGAAAACTCAGGGAAACATTTTATTCAGCAGGGAAGACGAGTAAGGTAAACTGCCAAGATAAACAAACCCCCTCAGATGCAGCCGGCTGCAAAAAATGCTACACGTTAGCTGACGTAAAGGGTGCTTCACTTTTTAAACAGTTCTGTATCACATTTATCTCTTGTTTGTGTTCTTACACTTACAAATACAGAGGATATATAATTTTTTATAAATCTAGAAGAGACAAACGCTGCATGGATAATAACTGAGAGCGCGTGCAAAAAATTTCTGCTGAGCGCGCTAGCCCCTCAGAACTCGCTCAGGAATCTAGTCGTAACTTTCTTGTCACTTTCCTTAATATGTTACGAAAATGATGTCACTTTCTTCAAGTCGAGTTCAGTTAAGAACATGGGTATCTTTTCTTAAAACGTGTTCAATTAAATTTGGTACCAAAACAATAACAAGCATAGTTCCTTAACACAAGGATATTAAATTTTAGCCACAGCTACCTGTACATGGGAAAATATTGTTTTCTGTCCGTATGTTCTTATTGGTTGAATACTGAAAGCTGTCATGACATAGTTCTCTATTTGAAGCCGAGAAAGGAAAATTAATAGGGTCATACTGCCTTTATAATAATCTTTTTCCCGTTTTTGGCGCACGTTTTTAAGTTTCCACACCACTGAGGTAAGATGGTAGGGATAATACCAAGCATGGACGTTTTTCTCCAACTTTGTGCCTTTGGTCTGTCGCTGTTTTTATTCCCAGTTGCCTTTGGTTGCATTGATGGTAAGCATTTAACATTTTATATTATCTACAATTGAAGGCAACTCAATTAAACATACAAAATTAAGCGGAATTAACAATTCTTGAAGCAGCGAATTGAATATCTGACACTTTGTGTTTCACTACTCCAAACTTCGTAGTAAAATTAAATATAAATACTTATCATGACATAAAAACCAGAAAGGAAGAAAGCTTAACGATACTTCGAGTCATGCTGCAAGCTGTGAAACGCTCAAAATGAGGCCGAGTTAACGGGGTGACCATTTAAGACTAACAAAGAGCGACTTTTTAATTCCTTTTTTATTTCATTTTATTTTAGTTTTGTTTTTAAAAGTAAGTGTTTTTTAAATTTTTATGTAACTTATCATGACAAATTCAACCAATAGTCATCCAAAATTCTCGAATATTTTTGTTCATATATATATGTTGAGTAAAGCATTGCATATTAAGTGCTTATTGAATTTCTCAATCGATACTTTTCATATATCTTTATTACAAACCTGTTAGCCTAACATTTTTTAAAGTTCTTTTTTTTCGGTCTGTAACGTTTGATATGATTAAAGCTTGGAATACATATTTGTTTGCGATGAAGCAGTGATCTTGTCATGACAAGTGATTTCTTTGCTAACGTTATAAGTTCTTCTGCTATATAATAAGGATCGAGGTGGATTGGCAATATTTAAACAACATGCTGGAAATAAATTGTCTGAAAACAGTAGTGCAACCGGAGTTCTCTTTTAGTCGTTGTCATTTTTCACTGCCTATTGGTAGAGCAATTAATTATTACTTGACCTGTTAATTTTCAAGACATGACTGAAATTTCTTATTTTCTGTACAAGTTATTAGCGGAAATTAACTTGCTGTAAAAGGAATTAATAATCCCCTTCAAAGTTGGCGTTTTCTTCCTGCTGCTATTTTCTTTAAAGGTTGCGTTTACCTGCATTGACGGTATTTATTCAAGGTTCTTCTTCATATCACATGCAGGCTTCTCTGAGAACGTGCGAGTTGCACGAAAGACAGCAGAAATAAGAAGATCGCTTAAAGATTTTTATTTAGGCCAAGTTCCTTTTCTGTTTCTCTTACTTCAAACCTTGTCCTTCGACTGATAATATATATATATATAAAAAAGATAGTTCACATATCAAAATGATTGTTTTGACTTCCTTAGAAACTGAATAACAAGAATTTATATTTAATACTAAGCTAAGGGTAATGGTAAATATCAAAAACGAGTTCGCTGTTAGATAGTTCTCATATAGCGTTTGTGAGTTCGTCACATGATTTCGCATAGATTTATACGCAAGCCAGTCTTCGTCACGGGATGATTTTCTCGCCTTTACAAAAAGTAGTCACGCTGACGAATGTGTTTCTTTATTTGGCCA